AGAAGAGCTATGTCGTCTGTGTACTCGATGTCTGTGAGCGGAGGCCCAGGGAGCACTTCGACCCCACAGGCTCGGCTTCACCCGCACAGTATGGGGAAGTTCACCGATAATCACGGAGCTAGGGTCACGGTATCCCCATTCAGGAGAAATCAACACCCGTGCTTCTTCGTCCACTACCACATGCATTCTCGGAAACCTAGAGACACAGTGTTGAGTGTGGGATGTCTGATTGCACGGAAAAGACGCTTAATCGAGGCTGCGACCGTAAATCACCAAAAGAAGCACTCGTTTGTCGAAAGCTGATGACACTGTTATGCTGTGATCAAGTTTGCGGAGCATTTCTTCTAAAAAGAGCTGAATGTGGCTCAAAGAACGGACGATTTTAACAAAATAAGAGGGAGGTGATACATGTCGAGACAACATAAGTTTCTGGATTTTAAGAAACATCGAAAAATATGAATGTTGAAAAATAGACCGGTTTTTTTCTGAAAAACCTCAAACAAGTAGTAGACACGCGGTTGGTGCATAGCAACCATGTGACCTGATGGAAAGAAGAGGCTCAAGATGCTACTAACTTCCTCAAGCTTACATTGGAGCAGTAGCTAAACCAGTGAAAATGACACAACGGCCATACCGTAGGGAAAACACAAGATAGAAAAACATTAGTGTTCATCCCACGAGAACGGGCTTCAAGTGGAGAGTTTTGTCAACCAACTAACAAAGACCAGCACAAACAGACGCAGGAAATTTCTCCTGAATTTCACACTAAAGTGATCCACTTGCCACAACTGGATCGCCCCACGGTTCATATTTTGATGTCATCAACTTCAAGCTACTTAGTAAACTTAAAGTAGTGCATTTATATACGCACTGCCTACCCGCCATATTTGCGTGTCAAGTTGCGCGCTTCAGTTGTTTTACTGAATTGTATGGCTTTTTTGAGTTTATCAAAAAGCATCCAGAAAGGTCAGCAGATTCAGTTGGATCTTTTTATGCTTGCTGTACTTGTCAGACACTCAAACCGGGCAGGTGACTTCGACTAAGCAATATAAACTAACCTGAACGTAGGTTTCCAAATCCAGTCGATGGCTTTCCATTGAATAGTCAGCTTGAGAACTAGCATCGGCATGTTGTGGGTCACACAATCGAAAATGCCGCACAATCTAAAAAAAGAGAAACGGTTGAGGAATTGTTATTTGAGGGCTGCCACATCCATATGATGAATTACAAGAACTTATGCTACTTAATTGTACTAACAAGTCTCAGTAAACAGAACCAAAACCAAATAACTATGAAATTACAGCTGTAATCAACGAAATGGGGGGAGGGGGAGGTGGCTCAGTGGTTAGGGCGTGACTTTGCTGGCCGAAAGGTTCGTGGTTCGAACTCGACCTCTTCCTCTCGACTTCCCCTGTCTAGGATTGGGTGACCTGGCAGTATCCCAGCCCTTGTGCTTCCCTCTAGTGGCATGGCAGTTAGGTACCGAAACGGTAGTACAGCCGAATGACCATATTATTCTCGAAAAGCAGGCTTTCCTGCCAAAGTGAGCATTGATGTCACTCAAACCACCCACAGAATATCATCCCCATCAGGTCTGACTGCAACTGACGAGGGACCAGCTGCTTCGTGGGGAACCAGTTTTAACCAACTAAACGTTTATGAAATGTAAGTAAAAACAATTACCAGCGAACTCGGAAATGCAAGGGCACTGTCGAACAAGTTGTGTTCAGATCCATAATCAAAGGCACAGGAACAAACAAGGTAGAATCCTCATATCAAAAAGAAGGAATCAGAAATCAACGTCTTATGGAACGACGAATGCTACGTTTTTGAGTGTAGCACGAATAATTTAACATTCGTGGCGGAAACATCACTTGTATCGACGACCAACTATCAACAGTTTCAAGTAACAACCAAGTAATGTTCCGCTAAAGACGATCGTTGACAAAGCAATGAAGACAATCAGCTGGTACTTGACAATTAACAGTCAACTTTGGTAAAGACTGCAGCTTTGTGGACCAGGCAGTGTGTGGTGGTACGGCTCAATCGACTACCTACTAAATCGTATGACACAATCTAACAGCGTTGCTTCATCACGATCGTGTTTCAGGATCAGCCAACTGTCAGTCAGTTGATCAGCTATAAACCATGCACCCAATGTACGCTGGTACCAGCTGCTGTACCAGCGCCACAGACTGCGTGATCGATTCGTGTCTGCCAGCGTCTTTAGCGATTGCTGACTTGACTCCCGAGGACTCCATCCAGGGAGGGGTTAACTGTCGACCCAACTGAACCTACTGTTTATTGTTTCCATACTTCGTTGCAAGGTCATACACTGACCTCCAATTGGTCACACAAAGCTGGGCGAAGAACCTTGCGAGGTAGATGATCCTATAGCATGCAGGTTACATGTCCTAACCAGCGTAACCCACGAAAGGTAAGTAGCTCATCCATCGTGGTAGAGCCCTTTTTACCTAAAACCATCTAGCGTACCTCAGTATTGCTAACCCGATGCTCCAAACCAGACCCGGCCAATGCTTCAAAGAAACCCATATTCAAACACCGACAGATTTCTTACGTCCCTTGTGCCAAGGTTCTTATCCATAAAGCAGTCAGGATCGTACTGCCGCAATGTATACTCTGTTCATGACAGACAAACTGACGTAACTCTGTGTTGCGTCTTCTGAACGGTCGCAAACCTGTGTGCCGGTCCTTGGCTTCTTGCTCCATCCACTATGGTATATCAAAAGGCACAGTAGCTTCAGACAGTCCTTTGTGTAAGGTCATCACAGAATACTCCACGAGGTCGCGTTAAAATCTCCGTGACGTGAGCAAGAAACATCGAGGTAACCATACTCGATCGAGATTGGCTGACATTCTGACCAATCAGGGCATGCCTTCATTTGGTCGGTAGCCCGCACGTGACGCATCCGTCCAATTGACGTGCTGTTCGGACCTCAGGACACCCCAATACCATAGGTATTAGATGTTGGCAAAAGCTGTCCTGAACAATAGAGAGCCTACTGTAAATATGTTTAGGGACAAAAAATGAAGCACCCACCAGAGTCCAACAAAAGTTGTGAGCCAAGGTTCAGGCATACAAGGTGGCTACTATTGAGCAACTTCCCCAAGAGACTGATCCATCGACCAAAGATATACTCACGTGGAGGCTGTATCAGATTACGACAATCAGGCCGTCGCTATCATAGGAGACAGAAGCACGTAGTTCAAACGACGAGTAACTGAAAGACTGAGATAACTCACCATAAGTATGGCTTGTTTCAGTTCGACCAAAATCTCCGTCTGTCGCACATTCTTCAACTTTGGATCCTCTGGTTCCGCTTCACCGTTATGTGAGGAACGTGAGTAGTCAGGTGAATGACATTCGGAAGATTGCTGCTGTGGATCACGAAATGGTACTGCCACGTTTGCCAATCGTCTAGACGGACTCGAAGATAAAGCGACCGCGCGCAAGAACTGACTGAGAGCGGACCGAGGACGTTTCAGTTGTCGCTTGGCCAGATACTAGCACGGAAGAGAGGTTTATGAAGGGATAGGGAACTCAATGAGGATAGCCAGAATGATTGTCCCAAGCGTGCTTTGTACTTGGTCATCATCCCTGTGGTTTGTTTCTTACGTAGAGTTACAAGAGAGAATACCGATCAAGTTCTCATTTAGAAAAGCATATTCCTTTGTTCCCCACGATTAGTTTATCAATTCAAAGGAAAATTGAACCATATTTTCACAGTTCTAAATAACCAAAGATGTGCATGGGCGCACATCACACGAGTGACGTCAGCATTACTCACAGTACGCAAAGGAGCCCTTATGATAAACAGAAGCGCGTGGTATATATCGATCCATGTGTATATTCGCTATACTACTGGTCCGTACACTGTGTCAGTTATTTTATCCATTCGCACTTAAATGACTTAGTCACATGGCTACGTTGTCTTAGTCCAATGAATTAGCTTTTATCGATCCAGTTATTGTATCGATTATTTTGCCCGTCCTCAGATGAGTTCAGTCTAATAGGGATAAAGTATCACAATATGGTTAGCAATGGGTGCCACAGTAAATGTCCCAACCAAAGCTCGATTTGGAACCCTTTTCAGATGAATACGATCCTTCGGTGTACCAAAATTAATTATCCAACCATCAGTTTGACACGAACAGGCGGTCAATTTCTTACGGGATCATTGCATCGTTTGCTGGTACCAACCCGTTCCCTCTTGTTTTGCGACCAGTCGTTTGCCGCGAATTTGCAGCTTCAAAATGACTGCATTTATAGGCGATAAACGCTGAGTGTTTAGCGCCTGCTGTACTCATCTCGTTACCAAGATACCCGAATGTGGATCGTTCGACTCACACGGGCCGCCTGTACTGCGATTGTGGTCACATTTCCCACATTAATCTCACCGAACAATAAAATCAGAGTATTCTGGACGGAAATACTTTCCACACGTTCAAATAATTTGGTTCCCCGCTTGTCGCTCAACATGATCTCAAACGACAGGCCTGCTTATAGCTCGGAAAGAGGAAACAATGGCAACAAATCACAACTGATTTGAAAAAGACTGACATCTACACCCGTTCATTCTGCGATTTTGAATGAAGTTGATTTTATTCCTACTCGTTTCCAAGATACTTTGTACGTTGACCGTTGTAATATATAACCCGCAATGAAGTTACAGGACGGCCCATGTACTTTCAAATACCTTCGAAGATGGAATGCAATTCACGGGGACATGAAGGAACTGGCATAAGGACGGAAAAACTAAGAAAATGGACAACGAGAAACTACAGTATCATCTTGAGAACTTTCAATGGTATATTTCAGTCAAATCACATACCTCAAAAGAGATTTCGCTCGGAACTCCAAAACGATATTTCCAAACCTCCTCGTAATACCACCAATTTGTAAGTGCTCCAGAAGGAAGAATAATTCACAATTTAATAGACCTTCCAACCGAAAAGTAGTAATCCGGAGAGACAGTCAACAGGTGATCAGTGAAGGAGTGTCCAAGTGCGAGTTAATCACACTGTCGATTATCCGCTCCTCGCCGAATGTTAGTGCGGGTGATACATGCACTCTTGGTGCTTCTCTACATGAATGAAACAACTGTGGAGTGCCCCTCGGCTTCTCGGTACAAACCGACTTCTCAAGTAAAGCTTACAAATCCCTACCAGTATTTGCGAATCCATTGGCCGTGCTATCAGTGAGCCTGGTGATGACGTCTGACTCGGACACATACTCCGAGCCACATACTCATTTCTTAGGTCACTGTTGACTCCTGCGTGTCAGTGGCGATCACAGGTCATTTTTCTTTTGTGTCATGACTACTCATGAGTAGCGGGATTTATGCCTGCATTTTGTAACAGTTCTGCTTTCTTACTGGCCGTTCCCCAGATCTTTTGTTGCCACTAAGACCTGCTTACACTCTAGTTACTAATGTCAAAATTATTTCCTGCCCATATTCGCCTGCATTTTCGTATCGACTCTATCCATATTCGAGTTCCTGCTCCTGTCTGGTCGGCCAGGGACAGAACTCGGAGCCCCTCGGATAGCAGGCGAGCGCGCTATAAGTTGCTCCAACCCAACTTACCAACAGTATCGTTTCAAACGGGCCTAAGAGCTCAGTCCCACTTGATATGTGACACGAGCTGCTGCCCGCACCGTCAGCTAATGACTGCAGGCAGTTTCGCTCACCTCCCGAACGTACTGACTGTCATCTGCGGCGTTTTTCCTACGTACGGTCTATCTACATTGTCTGATTACCAATATCCAAAGCCCTGGTATTTCACTGTTCATTTTTTGCTCCTACCGATTGCGCCATTACTTATTGTACGTTCTACTAAATCCATGATGTCTACTAATCCACCTGCTAATAGAACCGATTCACTACATAGCATCTACTGCCGTCATCCGTCCGATCCGACTACCCACCGAATACGAACTGCGTGTAGTCTGATAGCTGAAATGGTCCCTTGCTACCTGGATCTTATAGTCACTCGTTTCGTTCGGAACCGGATAAAGAAGCAAGATGGGGCGAACCTGTATGGATGTGGACAGCCGTTCAAATCGCTCAGCTAACCAAACGGTCGGGTGACATATCCAAAATGTGACCGCATAAAAAGAATGGACTGAGATCTTTTACAGTCCGCGCAACAAAAGCTTACTTCAACATCAAGGGTGGTATGGCTAATGCATTCATATTTCAAAACCCGACACTTAGTCCCAATACAAGTCTTATTTGTTACCATGCGAAACACCGGACTGATAAGAGAACTTTGGAGGTAAGGCATTTTCTCCGTCGCCATCTACCCTGAGTAAATGCATCCGCGAAACCGGAATGGTAAGCATGCTACAGCAAAAATGCGCTTAACCTTGGCCCTCTATGTTTCCAAAACGAACCTCCCACATTACTGAACTGGATCGGGTAGGATACTTCAGCTGTACCACCCTTCCGGTGCCTAGCTGCCAGGCCATCCGAAGGAAGCACGAGGTCGGGCAGGTTGCCCAAGCCTAGACAGGGAAAGTAGAGATGCACAGGCTGGGCTCGAACCACAAACCTTCCGGTCAGTAAATTCGTGACCTGGCCAGTTGAACCATCTCGCCCCACTACTGAACTGAAGAATCTAGAGTGACAGCCTACAGGTTAGCTTTGAATACACACCCACAAAGCAAAATGCGTTGAGGACTTCACAGCCTACGAAAACAGCCTAAGAACGGGACAGAACAATACAAGATTTCCCCAAATTCATAGAACTCAGATAACTCAGTGATTGAAGGGCGAAATTACCGACCGGTAGATCCAGGGTTCGAATCCAGCACCCCAGCTACCCTTATCTGGGCTTGAACTGCCTGTCAGTACGTCAGCCCTCGAACTTCCTGCTGGCGGCATGGCAGCTTGGCCCCGGATTGGTGTTACAACTGAACAATTATTATTGTTATTGTTAGTATTACATTCCTAGATGTCCCAAGAAATTGCTTCCTCATTCAAACGAAAGTCGTAACCCTGTGGTTGGTTTAATGCTACATCGCACTGCTACGGTGACCTGATTTTCGTTCCGAAAATTCCAATTTTAAAGACAAACAAAAAAACATGTACCATAAACTAAGAATAAGAGAGGTAGAGTCAAAATCGCACCTGCTTCGGCAAATTGGGTCGTGAGTCTGGCTGCAGCAATGCACTTTCTTCGACCATCAGCTGGGCCAGATAGTGACGTCGAAGGCTGCTGACACTGGAGGCATCCAAATATTCCTCATCAAGAGAATAGGCGACCTGTGCGAATGCAATTGTGCACTGTGAATTCACAGCTAAGCCAAAGACTATCCATTAAAAATAAGGATTCAATTTGTTTTCGCGATGGACACAAGTGAATTTCGAGGAAGGGGAAACATATCATCGCAGATGACTGCTAGACAAATGTGAAAACTCGGAATTATAAGGAAATCACTGCTGTTCTCCTCTACAGAGATCACTTTCGGCTAACACCATGAAAAACCCTCCAATGGAGGTTACCTTATGCTGATCGGGGAATTTCATCATAAAAGGACGCATTTTACTGAAAACAAGGCCGTCGCATGATCGAAACCGTGGCTCGGGCGAAGTTGGAAATGAGTTCAAGTAGCAATCATGAAGATTTGACAATAAAATATTGCACACAGGGTGTCTCATATAGGATACTGTCGTACCACAGTGGTTGGAGAGATAGCGTTCGATGGGATCATGGCGGGCTAATATTGCACGAGCTCCATCATTCCAAACAGATGGTGGCTAGAATGAACATGTAAAGAGTCAAGTTGGGGATACTATAGTCGTAACTACACGACCAAAAGCTGAAGTATTCAAAAGGTAATGACGGGATCTCTGTGAAGGCGTTAGAATTTCCAACATAATAAGCTGTGTTCTCATTGGTCCACAATCGGACCAATCACAGCGCACCATTTGATCCCTAACGGTGCATCACACATGCGTCCAATCGACGTCACGTTCGGTAACTCTGGGTTTCCCACTACGAATAGGTTGCAAGCGAAAAAGCATTCAGTACATTGTATATAAGGAGTTGCGAATTTTGCATCAATAGGAAGCCTGTAGAGAAGCATTCACTGGGGTAACCGAGAATGAAGAGCTGTATGCTGCTTCGTTGCTTTCAAGGCAGTATAGAACACTGTGTGCTATTTACACACCGCAGCAAGAGTTAACCGAAACCGGGCTGAACTTAAACGATGAGTGTCTCAAGAGGCCTGCAGCCAAGGCAAAACTTTGTGGGTTCGATACGAGGACCTGTTGGCTTTCTGTACACACTTGAAAAACCGACGATGTTGAGTTACCGATAAGTGTAAGTTGAGAATTCCTTTAACCCAAAAGAATGGGTTGGGTTCGAAAACCTATGGCGTTGTGTACAAGCAAATGGTCAAGTGCGTAACGTAAACCCTGGTCCACGTTCTTTGGGTCAATAATGGCAAAGCGCATATCACATAACAGTGGAAGCAAACGAATCCGTGTGGTATGGGCTGCCGGTCTTCATATGAGATCAGTCTGATGATCCTGGTTGGTGACCACTTTGGTATCACGGCAGGATAGGGCATAAGAAGCGGGTCAAACAAAGGACCAATGAAGGTGACTAACAAGTGCACCGACGTACACAGATACGATTAGTGAGGTAAGATCAACAGCAGATAGGAGGGCGGTGCCAACTAAGGAAAACTAAATGAATGTTGTCAAATGTACGGAAGGAGTCGGACGAATTAGGGAAGTGTAATCCTTGGTTAGTCCAAGTGTGTTTGAGATGAACTTTCAGATGTCGCGGTCATCTAGAGAGTGGCATAACACGTAAAATCCACGGACAAAAAGAAACACGCGTCATTTTTTGTTGACGCAACATGCTACTCATCGGGTTGCTGAAGACTCTCAGACAGCCCAAGACCAGATTCTCGGGGCTCATCAGATATGCGCATTAAGCTGGGATTAGGTTGAGTTTTCCGTAAATGCACTTCATCAAATGTAGTGACTGTCCGTCAAAACTCACTTGTATAAGTTCATTCACATCAGTGACAGTACCCGGCGCACCTGACAACAGGTTGAAAATTTGCACTGGATTGTCCAAATTCATTAGTTCGGGTTTCTGACGGAGAAGAGAATAAAGACACATGGAAAACCCAGTTGGTTTCAGACCGGTTTCAGAACCAGAAAAATACCGTCATTTAGGTTGAAATATGGAACGCATCCACAGAGCAGTGAACCCTCACGGTGACAAACGGGTGTGCGGTTTGAGACAATCTTACTACGTCAGCATAGATATGGTCAGTTCTTCGAAAAAAAGCCCATCCACAGAAGCTCCTGTTCTTACGAGGACCTATAAGATGGGAATAGATGAGACTGATCTTTTGGTTGAAGGTTTCAAGCTACTGGTAGCGAGACAAGGCTTGCAATAGACCAAAACTGATGAGTCCTCATGTAACTAGGGTTTATCGGAACCAATCGAATCATTGCTATTTCAAGTGAGCGAATTACGAGCCCATGACTTAGGGATTACTAGGCTCTCTGTTTGACTGTTTTTAGAGTTAACGGGACTCTGTGGGGCTCGTTATCCGGAGCGCTAAGTAATCTAACGAACTTAACATGCAGAGTGGCCTCCTTCGTGCCTTAGCGGCGAACGACACTGAATCCATGAAGGGAGTTACATACGACCTAATCCATTGTGATCTACATTTTATTGAGCTGCACGGATCATTCACACTGATTTCAATAGTCAGACTAAACTATGAGCCCGTAGAATAATTGATTAACTCTGAGGAGGACTCTGACTTTATTGATCAGCCTGTGTACGTATATTGCAATACAAAATAGCCTTTACTAACAGCAGGACTTCTGATGAGAATGTAGCGGATGAATTGCCACAATACTAGTGAGAAAAATGGTGATTTACCTTCATTGTGAGCAACGCAAGAGCGATTCGGAACAGCACAACAGAACCTTCGTAGAAAAACAGATCCCAAATCCGGAACGTCACTGGTGTGGGGCATACACTTGCGTAAAGGGTGAGGAACCATTGCAGGGTGATCAGCGATAGTTCTGTAAACCAGGAAACAGACAATTACGTTTGAACATATCGTTTAAAAGTATGTAGAGTATGCTATTTGAATCGAACTTTGATTGGTGATCGCGATTGCAATTTCCATGGTTTGCTCACGTGACCACTGGCCACTCCGGCCAATCGACTGTGACGCTTTGCACACCTTCATTCACAGACTCCGATTTATTGTTATCTTGACTTGACGTCCACTTTTGGATTTATGAACCCTCGGTCTGATAGAGGTGAGTACATGAGTTCACGCATGTGCTTGATTCAGATCTACTCAATCACACACTGGCCATACTAAGGGAACGGAACTGGAGGGCGGTCGGTTCGACATATCAGTCATCAGCTTGTGTCACGAAAAACGTCGTTTGATCTGTTTTCCAATCTTCATGACTCACACCTGAACTTTTCAGATCGAAAGCCGTGACGACAACGAAATTGGGATGCTAATCAGCTGACTGTTCTCTGATTCTTAGAGTTCTGTTCCGGAAAATATGCAATCTTTGTCAGCATACGATATGGCGTTTTCCAGTTTGGTATGAACTAACCATCCAGACCGCATCAGGAGAGAATAGAGAATCACGCATGAGGGATCTTTTCGGATTGCGCTATTACTTAGTGACATCTAGCAGCTGATCGAGTTTGACTGGAAGAAGCCTTAATCTGTCACACACAAGTGAAAAAGCTGGCTGAGTAGACCAACATACTCCACAATATTTAGTCAAAACAGAATCATACAACCGGGAGAAAGAATCATCGTCATCATCAGAAACAGCAACATCGGTGCTGACACTGATGATTCACTGCCGTACAACCACAGAGTTCATCTTATTGCGTCTAAAGCTTTAGAATGAGAAGTGGGCGGGTGGGTCGTCTGGTGATAGGCTATCACAAGTATTCTGAAATGCCCAAATCTAAAACCCCTCAACCTGAAAAGTAACTAACAGAACCCATAAGCCATCATTTTTACAACAGCTCCGGCCAAGCCCTAGGGGAGGGAATCACGGGGACCCCATGGTTGAAGGCGGACCGCAATAACAACAAGTGAACTCTTCATATTCTCTTTCACACTATTCTGCCAAGTTGTACTTTGTCCGCCTCGCAGTTTGCGTCATACTGAATGAACAACACTCGTCTCGGTAGACGGTGTCTGGTAGCGAGACAAGGCTTGCAATAGACCAAAACTGATGAGTCCTCATGTAACTAGGGTTTATCGGAACCAATCGAATCATTGCTATTTCAAGTGAGCGAATTACGAGCCCATGACTTAGGGATTACTAGGCTCTCTGTTTGACTGTTTTTAGAGTTAACGGGACTCTGTGGGGCTCGTTATCCGGAGCGCTAAGTAATCTAACGAACTTAACATGCAGAGTGGCCTCCTTCGTGCCTTAGCGGCGAACGACACTGAATCCATGAAGGGAGTTACATACGACCTAATCCATTGTGATCTACATTTTATTGAGTTGCACGGATCATTCACACTGATTTCAATAGTCAGACTAAACTATGAGCCCGTAGAATAATTGATTAACTCTGAGGAGGACTCTGACTTTATTGATCAGCCTGTGTACGTATATTGCAATACAAAATAGCCTTTACTAACAGCAGGACTTCTGATGAGAATGTAGCGGATGAATTGCCACAATACTAGTGAGAAAAATGGTGATTTACCTTCATTGTGAGCAACGCAAGAGCGATTCGGAACAGCACAACAGAACCTTCGTAGAAAAACAGATCCCAAATCCGGAACGTCACTGGTGTGGGGCATACACTTGCGTAAAGGGTGAGGAACCATTGCAGGGTGATCAGCGATAGTTCTGTAAACCAGGAAACAGACAATTACGTTTGAACATATCGTTTAAAAGTATGTAGAGTATGCTATTTGAATCGAACTTTGATTGGTGATCGCGATTGCAATTTCCATGGTTTGCTCACGTGACCACTGGCCACTCCGGCCAATCGACTGTGACGCTTTGCACACCTTCATTCACAGACTCCGATTTATTGTTATCTTGACTTGACGTCCACTTTTGGATTTATGAACCCTCGGTCTGATAGAGGTGAGTACATGAGTTCACGCATGTGCTTGATTCAGATCTACTCAATCACACACTGGCCATACTAAGGGAACGGAACTGGAGGGCGGTCGGTTCGACATATCAGTCATCAGCTTGTGTCACGAAAAACGTCGTTTGATCTGTTTTCCAATCTTCATGACTCACACCTGAACTTTTCAGATCGAAAGCCGTGACGACAACGAAATTGGGATGCTAATCAGCTGACTGTTCTCTGATTCTTAGAGTTCTGTTCCGGAAAATATGCAATCTTTGTCAGCATACGATATGGCGTTTTCCAGTTTGGTATGAACTAACCATCCAGACCGCATCAGGAGAGAATAGAGAATCACGCATGAGGGATCTTTTCGGATTGCGCTATTACTTAGTGACATCTAGCAGCTGATCGAGTTTGACTGGAAGAAGCCTTAATCTGTCACACACAAGTGAAAAAGCTGGCTGAGTAGACCAACATACTCCACAATATTTAGTCAAAACAGAATCATACAACCGGGAGAAAGAATCATCGTCATCATCAGAAACAGTAACATCGGTGCTGACACTGATGATTCACTGCCGTACAACCACAGAGTTCATCTTATTGCGTCTAAAGCTTTAGAATGAGAAGTGGGCGGGTGGGTCGTCTGGTGATGGCCTATCACGAGTATTCTGAAATGCCCAAATCTAAAACCCCTCAACCTGAAAAGTAACTAACAGAACCCATAAGCCATCATTTTACAACAGCCTCCGGCCAAGCCCTAGGGGAGGGAATCACGGGGACCCCATGGTTGAAGGCGGACCGCAATAACAACAAGTGAACTCTTCATATTCTCTTTCACACTATTCTGCCAAGTTGTACTTTGTCCGCCTCGCAGTTTGCGTCATACTGAATGAACAACACTCGTCTCGGTAGACGGTGTTTTGTCATGCATAGCACATGGCTGAGGCACCGCATCTGACGATGCTGGATGTTCTCCCTGACAAAATTACCTGCCGGAAAACCATGAAGGATTCATTGAAGCAATCCAACACGAGCAAACTTCTCAGACAGTGACGGTTAGAAACCAGAAGTCGCCTCACATCGCTTGTCTGCAGAGGCCGCGTCTTCCAACCATACAACAATAGAACCTCTGCTGTAGTCTGGTACACGCGGCCTTTGATACCTAAGGATATGCCTTTTGGCACAAGTGACGCAAGTTTGCGAACGTGATTCGAGCCCCTGAGATTAGTGAACTGACTTAACAAGCGGGAAGTTGATCATTTGAGCAAAGTATAGAAGTACAACCGCTAATGACAGAATGGAACGAAAAGGACCACTTCAGAGATATGGAGTGTTGACCTGTGGATTAAAATGTACTATAATACAGCAATGATGCTCATCCCTGAACTTTATTCATCAAAGGGGACAGACGTTTTTCCCACACTTGTTTGCAAAGTAATGTTGGAAACGTATACAATACAGTTAGTATAGTAGTGTTTTTGTCTGACGATCCGCACTGTGATGACTTCCTCTTAAATGCAAGGAATCATATCAAGTTAGAACAACAAGATACTCACCAATTCCGTGGTCTTTAAGCAAGCAGTCCACTTCGGGCAAGTACCGTGGGAGTAAATGACATAAAACAGCCTGGTCCGCCTGAACACCGAGTAAACTGATCGAGGAATAATAGGATGGTGGAAGGAGATCTTCAATGATACTGCACATCATCCAAAATGCGGTCTCCTCTTCCATACACAGGAGCAGGTTGGCCGCAATCTATAAGACACAAGGGAATTGTGAAAGCCTCGTATCAAACTTGAAGAAGCGACCAAATGGCTTGTTCCTCCCGGATGAAGCAGGATAAATTCTCAATTTTTTCACCTTACTCATGAGTACCTAATGTGAGAAGTGTTTGTATGACCACCAGAGAATAAGACGTCGGTACCGATGACTCACTGGGAAGATCACACGAACTCCAACCTACAATGCGAGGAGAACCGCGCCGACTGCATCCAGACTTTTCGAAATCGATTCGGTACATTCTGTCAAATCAAAGGCTACCCACATCTCTGCTTGCGCCATTCTGCATTAGGCATGGGAAACAGTTTTGGCAGATGATCAATTCGCACGCGTGATATATGATCAAGTCACTACAGCCTCTGGTAGCAGACAAGGACCTGAAGATGTCTCAGTTCCGGTGCTCGCAATGACCAAGTCTCTTAAACATACGACAAAACAGCTCGAACTGTGGCCTGATATCCAGAGGTTTGCCACTTCGTCCTCATAAGAGGCGAACGCCAGCCTTAAAGATTTGCTTACCGGCCAGACCACAATCAGAGCCTATGGAATTTCCATGAAAGGTGAGGATATGTTAAGTGTTTTCGGCTAGATTGCAAGTGGCATGTTCAGTAACTGGACATCCAGGAGCATGATTCTCATCATCAGTGCTATTTACAGCAACACCAACATGAGAACACTGGTGATTGGCCGTCCAACAGAATCGACAGAATCGGTTAGATAAAGCTACAGGCTCACCGGAATAAAAATGGAAACCAGATAAGTGCAAACACTTGAGATTTGTACAGTTCTACACATTCAATCAGACAAATTGGAAAGGGATTGACAGTGCCAGCGCTACCGACATCTGTCAGTGGCAATATTTTGCAACATGTTTAGCGAAACAAAGGCAAGACCACGTGGACCCTGTCCTGGAATTTGGTTGAAAACCGAAATTTCTGTAGCCCTCTTGATTCTCTTTCATCATAGGTGTCACAGGATGAACTGGACAAATTGCCTTCGTCCGGAAGCGAGCCGCCGTACATATAAAATCACGTCGAGTGGATAGATTTGTAGCGAGCGGGCGGAGGAGTGCGAGTTAATCACATTGCTGATCAGCTGCTCACGGCCACGTCCTAGATACGCTTCGTCCACATGTTTATACATTTTGTCTTATCCCGACTGTACAACATTCGGAAGTACGCCGTTTCACTGACAACAGTTAGAGTTCGTGGACCGAACGGATAAGCCCACCCGATATAGTAGAAGTTAAATCAAGCTTTCTTTGTTTGCCTTGGCTAATTCATGCATTTTACAGCGATTAGTACAGTAATAACTCGCATGACAGCTGCTCAACGGCAGCCACATGCAGAAAAATGCATGGTGGCTGTAACTGTGACTCCCGCAAACAGCAGTAAAGCCAAGTCGCTATGTCACAGTTTAGTTTATTGTAAGAGCCTCCACATTCGCGACATGGTGTGGAAGCTAATTTGAACGTCATACCTTTGGAAAGCGAGCCAGTGGAGATGGCCTAGGTGATATATATGAAGCCCACTTTGCGAACACACCTTGAAAGTCAGTCCTAAGAAAACTTGCGGTTTGTGGATAACCTCCGATTTTATTAGCAATGTTTCTCCCCTCGACAGCGGTGAAGCATCAGTGTTGAACACTGATGTCATGTTTTTGATGATGATGATGACGACGACAAAAATACTCCATCAGCGAAACGAAGAAGCGCACGGTACTACCGATGGACGTTGTTGACCTTTAGCCCGAGCAGTTCATAGGATTGCAGAGCCCAGATAAGTAAGCTGAGAAACTCCATACTTCCTTGGAAGGAAACCATTACGTATCCGCAGAGAATAACTTGCGCTTAGTGCCGCTCTTTCACTTTGGTGAGACTGTGCGAGCGGACTAGACCAAAGTGACTAGACTAGGGAGGTATACAAGCGACGTACATGACCTAAAATTTTGACTAAATCACTCGGTTTCAAGCTGCAGTGTTGGAATTCAAAAGAACCCTTCGTTTACAATATCCTTCAACAGTGCGTGCACGGGTACTAGAGTCCATTTGGACCAATAATCGACAAACTTTAGTATTTTCTCGACCTTTAATGGGAATTCCTTTGCAGACAGAAGTGGGACTCTTTCAAAGGATCGGTTCAGTGTAAAAGACCGTATTCCAAGCAAAATTAGCCTTGTAACCGAATTCTGAATCAATAACGGAATCAGATTGATCTTGGTTTATTCACTAGGACATCCTGAAATCAGCTGATTCGTCTAATTAAGACGACAGCTAATGATGAAGGATGACATCTCGACGGCAATACATCGATTTTTGAAAGTAAAAGATTCTTTCGACATAGAACTTACCAAGCCCATTCCTTGACAATAACCTACGTCAACATACAGCCACGCCAAGGATCGTAGAACGCGGCGTAGTCGGGATATGCCAGTCGAGTGGGAAGAGGAGAAGCATGCGTTGTTAGGCATCGTTCGGAAGAGATCCTAAAAGAAATAGCAAGCATGTTAGTGAGAAAACATGTAAAGTCCATTCTCCACACAATGTTATGAAGCATGCCAATAACTGGGGGAGCCGAAAGCTCAACCGCTTGGCTGTGGCACCGTTTCGGAGAATTACTGCCGTGCACAAGGGTCTACATGTTGCTAGGTTGCCCAAGCCTAGTAATGCCGCAAAACGTCTCATCACGCGCTCACGATCTAAGTACTGTCACCGGCAGCAAGAACATTAGATGCACGGGCTTACGGGCAATAAGCCGCATCAGAGAAACAATCATCCAGCCGTAGCACCCTTTCGGTGCCCAACGTTCATGCCACCAAAAGGAAGCATGAGGAATGGTATACTGCCAGGTTTCCCAAGTCTACACAGGGGAATTCGAGAGGCAGAGGTCAGATTCGAACCACGGACCTTCTGGCCAGTAAATTAACACCCTAACCGCTGTGCCATCACACCCCAGACCAGACATGCCATCCATGCGGGATCAGGGGAAGATGGCAGCTAATATCCTTCTTAGGGCAAGGGTTCCAGAAAAGCAGATGTGTGGAACGATAAAGAGTATGCTCATGCTGGAACGACACGCAACTGTTCCGAAATCGGCACACTTCTTTTACCGCTGGATTAAAAATGGCTAATTTTATCATCCTGAAACAGATTCAAATGCACAAGTAAGCCCTGTTAACTAACTGGCAGCGTGGACACCACAACACCGATAGTTCACTGCCTTTTAACCGCTATTTATTTTAAAGCCTTATAGTGGGGATAAAAATGAAAGGGGAAACTAAGAGGGTCAACAAACTAAGGTGCCCACAAATTCCGAAAATCTCGATAAAGACTGACAACAAGAACGCCACCGACGTTGATTAGTAACCACATCCTGGAGCGCCTCCAGCCAAGTATAGGAAGATCGAAGGTAAGTAGTACCTAAATCACTCAAGTAAAATAGTAGCAAATTTCAGAAATACGGAGGATATCAGGGCGCGAGTAATCACACAAGAGAAATGGCTCCCAGTACTGCGTATGATATACCAAATGCCGGATTCCCAACAACTCCTGAAGGTTAATTTAGAAAGAACGAGACGACTCCAGTAGGGCCCCACTCTAACCTCCATGATGTTTCGAGTGCGAGATTGCTCATGGATTAAATACAGCCCGAGATTTCTATGATTCCAACCCAGCTTTCCCATTACTCCCGCCTAGGCTTGGGGGAGCTGTTAGTATCTCAGTCCTTGTGCTTCTTTATGGCAGCGAATCACCCGTGACTTGAATGTGCCAATGCCCAATTTATAAGTAATATCACCGTACCACATGGCAACCTGCACAGCGGGATAGGTCCCAAAGTTGTAGTCTAAAACCGCAACGAAATACGATTATTCACGGTAACCTAGAAAGAAAGTTTATGGGAACACAGAGACCGTGACTTTTTGGACACAATGGCTTGTACCAATCGATATCACGGTACCTGGTAGTGTAATTTATATAATGGGTTTGGCAGACAGGGTCTCCCGGTTCTCTGAAAGACGGTTTGAATAACCAGCTGTCTATCGTCATCCTAATCTATTCCATTGCAGCCAGACGTCTGAAAAATATACTGAGGATAAGTCTGGGAAGCCCTTACACTGAGTTATAAAGGTCATCCATATGTGTGTGTGTGTGATTGCTGGGGCTGTTGATAGAATGAGAAGATAAGGTTTGCGTGCCCCAT